TGACGATGCTTCGACGATTTCCAAGGATTCAACTAGAAGTAGTTGGTGACTAGCGGGGGAATCCAAGATGCGCGTTTCACCCTCTTTAGGACTTTTCAGCAGGGTGTACTGACATTATCCAGTCAGTGGTGGTCTTCCCAATGAGAGTCAGTCGATCCCTGACAGAGTCCGAAATAGAACGATATGCGCATCCCAGACACCGTCGCTAGTTTCCATCTACCAGATTATTCCCAGTTAAATACATGGACGTGCGTCGGTGGTATAGCGGTTAGCACGCTCGCCGACCATGCATATGGTCCGGGGTTCGATCGCCGGCCGGCGCACTCCTTTACCTCACTGAGCCAGAAATAATGCTGGTATAGAGGAAAGGTTGGGAATGACGCTAGCAACCCCGTCCTGTAAAATTAAACACTGCTACAGAAACTTCAAGCCACTAGCTTGGAGCCCTATGTTCCACTGGGGACGTGAAGGAAAAATTATTAAATTATTTTTTAAATACATGGACATCATTGAAGCATCCGCACATAGAGCTGACATGTCAAACAGAAGCCGAACACCTAGGTCCAATTAATGCACGAGAAAGTTCAAATTAAATTAAGTAATAACTGATGCCTGTTGCGTAAGAGGTGGTGGCTCTCGTGGCCCAAATGGTCTAGTGGATAACGCTTTAGCATTTGGAACGATGGGTACGGGGAACACCATCATTCACTGAGGAATGCAGATACGCTGAAGTGACGAGTCGCAAATGAGACGAAATGCGCATCCTGGATACCACGGCTGGTCGCCATCTACAAAATTACTTATCTAATTAGTTTACATTTCTCTAATTAACTCTCTGATTCGTAAATCACTGATAATCTGTCTGTTATTCCATTTGGAGAATTTTAGTTTCACTTGCTTAGATTTTCAAGTGTAAACTTGTACTGGATGCTAAAGAGAGGATTTGGTAAATAGTATACTGTATGTTTGACTTCTCCTACAAGAATATCTAACATTGGAAAGGTGGGTCAAATGACAAAGAGGAAAAATTAGAGATCCGTGTGAAAAAAACACAGAAAATATGAAAAGAAGAGAATAATTATTTTAGTGTGAGGTATAGGAAGTGAAGTGGTGGAGCACGTTGACCGCTTCACTTATTTGGGAAGTACCATCAGCCCAAACGGGCTGATCTCTGACGAAATCTCAGCACGAATACAGGGGGCTCGTTTCGCATTTGCCAGTTTACGCCGACTCTGGCGTAGACGAGATGTTCGACTATCGACCAAAGGGCGGGTGTACTGCTCATCAGTCCGCTCCGTCCTCCTTTATGGCTGGCTGTGAGACCTGGCCATTGAGAGTGGAAGACATGAAAAGACTAGCTGTCTTTGATCATAGGTGCCTGCGTTCTATTTCCCGTGTGAAGTGGCATAATAAGGTGAGCAAGATTGAGGTTAGGCGTAGAGTTCTAGGTAAACGGGGGAAATCAATCGACGAAATTGTGAAGTTACAAAGACTGAGATGGTTAGGACATGTGTTACGTATGCCAAGCCATCGCCTCCCTCGACGAGCAATGTTAGCGGATATAGGGTCAGACTGGAAAAAAGCTAGCGGCCGTCAAACAAAAACTTGGCACCAGTCAATGAAATCCACAACAGTTGGTCTAAGCCACGTGGGAAGGTGTAGGCTTCCAGGCTGGGGTCCTCGGGACGGTAAAAATCTATGGTTGGAAACAATTGGCTCAAAATCGTTCTCAGTGGCGCAGATGCATCCACTCCTTGTGACTTATGATCTCCAATGAAACTGTTTTGTTTTTCTTTATTACTCCTTTGTCTCACATCTCTGCTCACTGTTTCTATTATGCTTTTCTTGTACTTTCTTCTCTTGCTTCGCGTGCTACACGGAGTGTGGCGACTTGAACTTCCGCACATTTGTGCAAAGTTCTATGTCGAAAACAGACAGACAGACAGACAGTGTGAGGTATACATCTTTTGCCATATCTGTACATCGATTGACCAATAAACATGTTCTCTACCAAATATAATCGTATTCTGCTATTACAAACCACTGTTGATAGGCTTCAGTTTGGAACAAAATGGTGTTCAGCGTACCCCTCTTTTTGTTTTCTATATTTCTAATAATGTCCGTTGAATTTTAAAATACTTTAAACATACAGAAAAGAGTGCCCTTTAAACAGGATAACCTTGGTTACTTTTAATTTCTGTTCACATTGTCGTCTGAAAGTATTTACAGGTAGCTATGGTAGTCATTTTAAACTTTATGTAATAAACTATATTGGATAAATTTTCTTGTTTAAGTCAATCTTATCATTCATCTGCTCAAAAAAATATCTATTTTTTCAAAAATAAAGTAAATATTACATCTGTAACCATAGGCTATTTATCGATTAAATATGGTGACTGCAACGTTAGTAGGATGAAAAATAGAATAATAATAGGACCAATACAGTCAGGCTATAAGTGAACATAAGAACAACTATCGACGTCTGAATTACTAGGCTGATGCTTTATCAACTCATTTATGTAACACATGATACTGATTGAAATAGTGCTTGTATTTTAAAGCATCATGTGAACAAATAACAAATGAAGATTACTAACTTTTCCACAGTATAAAATGTATCACCAAATCCTAAAGAATATAATAACATGCTTATCACTAGGTAAAAACACTTATGACGAATCTGTTTATCTAAAACAATTAGTCCCTTTAATAAATTTGGATAGTGTTAATAGAAGACGCAGATTATCTGGAAAATTTGATGTTATTGCACTGCAAATTACGAACAATCGTATCCAATAAAGTATAATTATATTTCAATAGTTTACACGCTGCGTATGCGAATACTTTAACGATGTCTGCGGATTTAACTACGAATAATCTGGTAGATGGGGACAATCAACTGTATCTAGGATGCTCAAATCGTACTATTTGAGACTCAGTCAGGGATCAACTGACTCTCCGTGGGAACACCATCACTCACTGGAAAATGCAAGTACACCTCGCTGACATGTCCTATATAGGGTGAAATGCGCATCCTAGATTCCCCCGCTAGTCGTCAACTACTTCTAGTTGAATCCTTGGAAATCGTCGAAGCATCGTCATAAGAAGCTACCATATCAGCGGAAGCCCAGCACTTGGGTTCAATCAATAAAAGGGAAATCCCAAACTGAATTAAATCACTATTGAATAACTTCTTTAATCTTTTCAATGTTTATAGATTTTAATTTCATTGCGTGTAAACTATTGAAATATAATTATACTTTATTTGATCTAATCCACAATGCTCAAACTTTTTACAAATATTAATCCGATCCAACATTTACTTGTCAAGTTAATATACATGAAAAATTTAGAAGGTGATTAAATTATACAAAGGGATAAAAAGGATTCATGAATAATAATAAGAATAATTAACACAACGTTTGGTAGTCCAACCAAATAAGGATTACCAAGGCAGGTTGAGAGTGATAATCAACGCACAGGGTAGGGGTGGGGGGCTTATGTTTATGAATAGCTTTAGCCTCACCGTATTTCAATAAGCGCCCTTGATCAATTTTATAGATGACGTTAAGGGCTGAGTTAACATCAGTCATTTGGTTCATCTCGATTAGATGCTTAGCTATAGACGAAGTTGGTAGCCTGACATCTGCGTCTATAGGTTTTCCACAATTCATATGAACTGTGATCAAGATTTGACTGGATAGCTACGAAATAATTGAGCACCGAGTTGAGTAGACATTAATAAAATTATATTTGTAAAACCTCAGCGAAATTGAAATGATTAATTCCACCGTTTCGTTCGGCACTCTGGTCTGAACTTCTTCAGGGAAATTAATCCAGATTTTAAAAAACAAGAGGTGTCCCTTTTATATATAAACCTCTGTTATGTTAATTTCGATTAATTTCCCTGAAGAAGTTCGAGCCAGATTGCCGAACGAAACGTTGGAATTCATCATTTCAATTTCGCTGAGATTCTACAAATATAATTTTATAAATTTTTTCCACAACTTATTTGTTTTTCTAACCACTTCGGGATATGCTCTCCCACCCTCACATGCAAGGCATGATCACTCCTCCCTATGTATGTGTGTCCACACACACAAAATAATTGGTAGATAGTGTGGGATGTGACATAATCACTTGTGCACCTTTGAGATTTGCAGTGTAGCTTATTTTTTGGTTTTTTCGTTAATTACAAGCCGGGCTGCATAACAGGTCCTACGGATAACTGAATTTAACCTTTGTCTCAAATTCCTACTGTTTACTTCATCGTTATATGATAATTTGATGAAAACTTTTTTTTAAGGGTGGCATAGATTGTATGTTTTAAGACTAATTGACTTCTACACCAGTTTAAAAGGATATCCGTTTTCAACAAGAGTATCCATCAATATTTCATTTTCTTTCTGTATAACGTCAGCCGTGTAAATACGTTGAATTCTCTTAAATAAGCATTTCATCAAGTCTCTCTTATACTATAATGGACAGAAGGTGTGAGAATTAAACTATTACTCTATGCAAGTTGGCTTTCTGTAAATTGATCGCCTTATTGAACCATTATTTTTGTGACTCAGAAGTATGTCTAAAAATGCAAGCTGGTTGCGACTTTCTTCCTCGCATGTTAGATTTATATGATTCTGTACGGAAATGAGTTTAACTAATAGACATCTCGCATTTTCATGATCACCATATATCAAAACGATATCACCTACATATCTCCTATAGAGAAGGCTAATTTAGAAATTAAATCAAGGAACAACTTTTCAACATAAGACGTCCGCTAGCAAAAGTCCTGATGGACTTCCCATGGCTGCACCATCCACTTGTTGAAAGTGCTCAGATTGTTCGAAATGCATAGCGTAAATACAATCAAATTTTTCAGATAATCTCCATCTTCTAATAACACTATACGAATCTATTTATGGTAAATGTGTAATTTTTATTTTAATCACTACTCTCAGCTAAATATATTTATATCACTACTATTATCTCTGTTTTAGTTTCACTGAAATCTGGAAAGTTTCATCTTCAACTTACACAGATCTTTGCACCATTAGTTGTACGTTATGTTGATCTTATGGAGGCTTCAATTGCTCAATCTATAAGTGGTGGAGTTGAAGGACAATCAAGTTATCAAAATGGAAGAAATAGTCCTGATTCTACATCTGGTACATCAATGTCAACTGGTTTTGCAGCTTCCGCCTTAGAAACTGTCGGTGCGCTGGGTAATGTAGGCTCTTTAGTCAGTGCAGCTGCTGCAGGAGCAGCTAATGCTGCAAATGTTGCTAGTCGTACAGGTGGTTTAATGGCAGCGGCCACGGCAGCAGCCAGTGCAGCTACACAGGCGGCAACAAATCCAGCTTCAATTGGTACAACAGCATGTATACCAGTTACATCAAGTGAATTACTGTGGAAGCTGGAAGCCCTACAGAATTTTATTAGAGAACTTCATTGGCCAGATATAGCTTTTGCTGAACATATGGATAATAGATTAAAAATGATGGCTGCAGATATGATTGATGCAGCAGCTCAACGGTAAGTTGCTATTATCATTATTAGATTAAATTTCTAGAGATATAATGATGGATGTAGGAACGTTTTAATTTGTTGACAACATATATATATATATATATATATATATATATATATGTATATATGACCCATGACATTTCGTGGCAAGTGAGATATATATTAATATTATAATTGTTCCCTTGGGTTCTCAGTGGAACACAGGACTTCAATAGCATGTCTCTGTTTTATCTGGTTCTCTGTCCATGACTGCGCAAAAGCTTTCATTTTCCTGCCCACATGATCTCCTCTATGTCATCTTCAGACGCTCAAGTCATCGTTTCCCATTCGGGTCCTAATTGGGGGTTTAGTGTGTAATGTCATCTGACGGCCTCCCCAGCGTTTATCCAACCAATCTTCATTTTCTTTTGGCATATTTCTCTACCATTAGGTTCTTGATTGGTTCCTTACCAAAGCTTCTATTCCCTGAGATATATAATAAATTCTACTCTTTCCATTTAGCAATCTGTTCCTCCAGTGATCTAAGAAGGACTAATAGATATGTACGCATTGTGTTACAAACTAGTACAGATAACGGAAGGAAGTGGACATCACTTCTGACTGACTGACTGACTGACTGACTGACTGACTGACTGACTGACTGACTGACTGACTGACTGACTGACTGACTGATAGCTGGCAAATCTTAAAATGTGTGTAATGAAACAGAACATTCTGTAAAACTCACTTCATACTTAAAAACTAAGTAGATGTATGTAACTAATAGCTTTCTTCATTAGCCAAAAATGTCTTTGAATCAGTTTTTTTGACTCAAAAACTTATATCAAACAAACAATATATATGTATATATCAGAATATGAGTCACTCGTTTGGCGGGAGAATCCTCACCAACCTTATATGTGGTCCAGAGTTCGATTCCAGGCAGGCGTACACTCCTTTACCTCCCTTAGTTAACCGTAAGCCTGTTAGAGAAGAAAGGTTCGGTGTGGGGCTTGCAACCTCACCCTTTAGAAATACAACCTCTGCTACTGAAACTTTAGAGCTTAAGCTTCTTGAAGCCCTGTATTCCACTGGGAACGCAAAAGAATAATTAAATAAAAAGGTTGAAGAGATTGTGTCCTACTCTTTGCTTTCCTTCCCTTTGTACATCTCATTTTCTTTAAGCAACTTTCAGTAAAAGACTTACAATCATGATGATAATAATAATAATGACAACAACAACAATAACAAATATTTATTTGATTTCCTGTTTTTTTTACCGGTTTAGTTTATTTTGATCTTAATTACAAATAAAAATAGTGAGTAACGCACACACACACACACACACACACACACACAAACGTAAACACGAAACTTTGAATCCATTAAATTATCAGATTCTGTTCTGCTTGAATCTAAATAAAGGACATGGTTAACTAACTATACCCATGCATATGTATATAATATATATCTGTGTTAGGCGATATTTCCGGGTAGGCGTCTTGTATTTTTTCATATAAATCCATAAACATCCTGAAACACCTGAGCAACACTCGTTTCACAGTAAATTACGTGTTACATAAGAGTAAATAAAGTATGCCTGTTTTCAGATGATTACTTCATTGATATCTCTTAATTTATTACTTCTAATTATATTTTTTTGTGGGGTGCCATTGACAATTATACATCTCATCCAACAGTTATACGACAATGCTACATGCCAAGTAATCCACAACGGGAAACTTACAGAAGCCTTCAAAGTGAAGACGGGAGTAAGGCAAGGCTGTCTACTATCGCCAATGATCTTCCTGATTGCAGTAGATTGGATAATGAGACAGACAACGGCAGCCAATGAGGAAACAGGCATAAAATGGACTGACACAAAAGACTTGGAGGATCTGGACTTCGCCGATGATATATGTCTGATTTCTCACGAACTGGAAGATATGTAGAAATGAAAAGCAACAAGTAGGCAGAAGAAGCATACAGAGAAGATAACACTTCCTTCAGGTGAACATTGAGAAAACAGAGGTGATGAAGATTCCTGGCCAACACCAACAGCAACGATAACAACAAACAACAATCAGCCGGCATAAATGGGAGGAACCTGAAAGAAACCATTAAGTGACATCACTAGACAAGCCACCGCTTGAGTGGAACCCGAAAGGGAAGCGGCGAGTTGGTCGTCCAAAGGTGACTTGGAGGAGGTCATGTGAGGAGGAGATGAAAGCATGTGGGCAGACCTGGAGAGGAGTGAAAAAGTTGGCAGAAAACAGAAGGCAATGGAGATGCGCAGCTGAAGCCCTATGTTCTTCTAGGAATTAAAGAATACAATAATAATAATAATATTTTTTTGCGAGTTGATCACGGACTGATATCAGTTAGAGTACCATTGAAAACCAGGGAGTAATGGACAGCTGCTGTTTCATCCCACTAGTTTGGGAATCATCGGAAGTACCCTTTCACCGCCAGGGTTCTAACCCAGCACCTTCCGGCTACAAGCAAGCAAGCTTGTATACCATTCAGCCACTGGGACCCGATTCAATAGCTCATGAATATCAATATCACTGTTATCAATCAGTGATGAACTCGCAAAAAACAAAATTAACCCTTACAAACCAAACTATAGGAAACTTCTAATTATAACTATTTGACTTACTTAAGGAAAATATTGAATAGAAAATATATTTGTTGGCCGAATTTATATCCTCCCACTGTATTTTCCATTTACACCTCTTCTGTAGACACTTTGGTTATATGCGTTTAGTAAGGATTTATATAAGAGATATAATATGAGGAGTTCTAGTGTTCTCAAAATAATTCGACAAAAGTTACAAAATTGACAAGAATTTGATTAGTTTGTATTTCGTCTGTGACTGTATCGTGATAGATAAATTTCATGTTTAATATTGTAATCGACTTCAAGAATTCCATACTAGTCTCTTGTTGTGATGTCCATAAAGGCCAGTGTGTCAGCCTGCATATGGCAATCTCTTGAAATTTTGTGCTCTGTTCAGATTGATCGAATTTAAAAATCGTAAGCCGATCAAATTCTGAGCATCTGTGTGATAATTTTCAGTTTCTTATGATTTCCTATTCATAACGGAATCAACCCTGTGATTCTCACACTGAAATTGTTATCACCAGTGAAAGATATATCTTTAAGTGAATTAATACAATGCCAGAAGTCAGTAGGCATCGTTTAATTATTTCTTCTATTGAAATTCTGTTTGTTATTACCACTCTAATGTGTATTTAAACCATTTTCATTTATTATCTAACAGCAACCTGAATTGTTTCGATTCTTGGCTGAAAAGATCATCGAAAGGCACAGATTTTATTCTACCTAATGAATGTTGTAATATGATTAATACTGTGATTGAATTAAAAGCAAGTATACTAAAGTTATGCACTAAAGACACAAAAGGTGAAGATATGGTAAGCGTTAAAGTTGATAATTTACATTGATGCCTTTTTTAATTTGTGTGTTTGATAGTGATTTCTTTGGTCGACAGCTGGATATCATGTTTGTGCCAGAGATTGGCGTAAGTTGATATATACCATCTCTGGTTTAGTAGACGTGATATCCGGCTGTCGAATAAAGGGCGTGTGTACTGCTCAGAAGTTTGCTGTCTCCTGCTTTATGGCTGTGAGATATGGCCACTGAAAGTGGAAGATATGAAAAGGCTATCTGTCTTTGATCATAAATGCTTGCGTTCCATCTCCCGTGTTAGGTGGTTTAATAGGGTGAGCAACATTGAGGTTAGGCATCGGTCGAGTGCTAGGTAAGGAGGGGAAATCAATCGACGAGGCTGTGAAGTTACACCGATTGAGATGGTTAGGACATGAGTTACGCATGCCTAGCCATCCATCACCTTTCTAGACGGGCGATGCTAAATAACATATGATGGATCAGGCTGGAAAAGACTTTGTGGTGGTCAAACCGAAACATAGCTTAATTACTCAGTGAAATCCATAACAGTTAGTTCAAGCCAACCAAACACGTAGGGTGCTGTAGACTTCCTGCTAGGGGTCTTCAGGATGGTAAAAACCTATAGTTGGAAATAATTGGTGGTATGGCTCAAAATCGTTCTCGATGGGGGAGATACATTCACTGTATGACTCATCATATCCAATAAAATTCTATTGTTCTTCCCCATATTACTATTCTTTTTCCCTGATACTTGTGTTTATTATCTCTCTCTCTTTTGAATCTCTATTTACACTCTTCTTTTGCTTTGTGTGCGACAAGGAGGGAGTGTGGCAACTCGAACTGCTGAGAATCTGTGCAAAGTTTTACGTAGGAACCAGTTAGTCTGGTGATTTGAACAAATATTTGTTGTCTTAAGTAAATTAAAGTAACTATAGGTACCGTAAGTTTTTTGTAAGGATAAGTGAAACAGGAAGTGGCTTAATTAATAAAGTACTCTATACAATGAAAAGTAACCGTCATTATTTTGGTGAACATTAAAACCTTGAGAAGAATCTGAGTTTGTTTCTTTTTATTTCTTAAAATACTACTGAGTTCAGACAACTTGATTGGAGGTAAGGGCTGATTATACATTCTATACTGAAACCATCTATCTACTTTTCCTTGCAGACATTTTCGGTATTTGTTGTTATAACACTGATTTATGAATAGAACTTGTGCACTGTGGTAGAGTGTAATTCCACTCTAGATAAAATTTTATTTTTATAAAGTCTCAAAGTTTTCTAAAAATAATATTTACTGATGACATTTTGAGCACAATTTATTGCTATTCACAATCATATCAAGTTACACACAACTTCCAAACTTCGTCTATATAATTCCACTAATTCTCATCTACTGACTTGATTCGTAATAGCATTTTCCATGGACAGTTGGAGGTAATCGGTAGAAAGCCTTGCACGCGTTGGATGTAAATTCTGTGAACAAAGATTCAGTAATCAACCTCTCTCCTTCCCTTACTTGCATTACATTTTAGAATTTTAGCCCTCTCCAACCCTATTGTGTGGTTGTGTGTTAACCCATACAGTAAAATTGCTGAGTTTAGCCCTAAATTACTCATCATTGTGGGATCAATCATTCTAACCTTACCTAAGTTCTTATGTTCTGACAATCTGACTACCCCCAACCCACTAGTTTGATCTATGTAGTTGACTTAACTCACAGTCATTGAAAGGTATTTTGTAAATTATATTATTTTGTCAAATTGGGTCCACCGGATCTTTTAGCCTACAGAGCTTGTCCCTGAGTGAGTTTGTAAGTTTAAGTGCCACTCTGATGCCTGCTATATTGAGAATCCCATGGAGGATCTCAAGTGTCCCTTCCTTATATGGTAAAACTGTGGATGCTTTATATTTTTTCTTATTTGTGTTATCATTACTAGTTTCACCATTATTTTTATTTTGCTTCTGACCTTTTTTGATATTCCTAATGAATTATACAAAGGAATTTATTACTATAGGCTTTGTAAGGATTTGGATTGATTTCTATATAGCTGTCCAGTACTTCCTGAGTTTCAAAAACTTTCTAACAGATGTTGGTTCAAGACAAACTCTACATCGAAATCAATCCAGATCCCTATAATATCCATAATCTAAGCAATAATCCTCAGGCCATTTGCCGCTACCAGACCGATTTCCTTAAGTTTGAATGAGAGGTTGTGGTCAGTGAGGCCCACTGAATCAGAGTGGACGTTTACAGATGGCACTGATTAGTAGTAACTCTCTATCATATATTGACGGGTTTACAATCCACAGGTCATCGAATGTCGATGCAATTGGCTAAATGATATGTAAACTAACCCTAAAGGTTCCGGGCTCGATCCATGATAGAGTTGTAGACATGTACTACTCAAAAGTCTCAAATTACGATGAAACATCTACCCAACACTTCGTCGTTTTTAATGGCTCATAATGTAATCCACCCTAAAATTATCTTTGAGTTGACTGGAAATGGTTTACCCCGGAAAAGAGTAAACTGTTATACTGTGTTCATCATCTCTATTGTGAACTTATGCTGTTCTACTTTTTTGGTTTTCCATTTTTATTTGTCTTTCAAAAACATTAGCATGAATATCAAAATCAAACCGAAACGAACTTAGAACGAGTTCAACGCAAAATGGCTATTCTATTAAATGATAAAATGGGCAAAATACTTGAAGGCAATCTAATGAAATTAGCTCGTTATGATGTGAATACTCTACTTTCATCAGTACTTTCATTAACTGTAAGTGGGTTATTTTTTTAAACGAGAAAGTTTTTGTTTTCTGTTAAAACGTATGAAAAATAAATTTTGTTTTGTCCCCTCTTCACTTGATTGTTTTTGAAAAAAACCCGTTTTATTTGTTTTAATTGTATAGTTTGATTATTGGTTATCGCAAAACAAAACTGTAATTTAATAAAGAAGCATAGTGTAGATTAAAATAGGCTTAATTCAAAGTCCTCCTTTGAAACTATTCAAAAAATTGATCTCTTTCATCTGTAGTCTTTTATCTATTCATTTAGAAATACAATTGTCCCTGTTTTTGTTTACCAAATAGCTTTTCTATTACTTTCTAATCCTATAAACAACTGACTGATTACCTTATATAGAGAGAACATATCTTCCATGCGCTTAGATGCTATAATATTGCCACTTTTATATTTCACGGTAACACTTAGATTGAAATAGGGATGCTGAACTGATCACAAATATCACTCGACTATACCAACAAGGCTATACAGCAGCTATATTTTCTTCAACCCGTTCTACTTAAGCGAGAACACACAACGATGTGAGCCAAAGGGTATATTTCACATTATAATGTAGGATTCACAAAATCCCCAAGGTTATTTTAGTTAGTCTGTAATAATAATCAATAATTTGATCGGCATCATTTTTCGTGGGCTAATTCTGACTGGTTTATCTCAGGGCTGACCTTGACAGTCATGTCGCCAATAAAAGATAATCCATTGTTTATCTATCTATATATATATATATATATCACTAGGTCATAATCTACGCGTTATTGTTTGACGGCTGATGATACTGCTAAGAATTTACCCAAGCTGAATTAGGTGGAACCTAGAACTCAATTAATTGGAAGTCAAATGTTTAATTTTCATGAATTAGTTTGTAGGGATTATATTCGTTTCAGGTTAGACCACGGATTGATATCAATTAGAGGACCATTGAAAACCAGCTAGGAGTACTGGACGGCTGTTTCGTCCTAGTTTGTGACTCGTCGGCAGTGCGTACCCTGGTTTTCAATGGTTCTTTAACTGATATCTATCCGTCATCTAACCTGAGGGAAATCTTTAAGCCAATAAGTGTCGTCTTCACAATGGTGTAAATAGAGTGAGGAAGAAATAATCAAGAAGAAACCTTTCTTAACTCCATTTATCAGTTTCTGTTTGATCAACTGCATTTTCTTCAACCAGTAAATTTGCATTACAAATGAATTTGAGTAATGGCTCTTGTTATTTTTATAAATTTGTTCATAACTATAGTGGAATAACTCTGGACAGCATATACCATGTATAACATGTAACACTGATTAGACACTAGTAGTACGTCGATGATCCAGTCGTTGAATACTCTGTAACCACGCATATGATACGGGGTTCGATCCCAGGCTAATGCACTCCTAAGCCTCACTCAGCTAATGGTAAGCCCGATAGTGAGAGGAGATAGGGCACGAGGCTAGCCATCCCACCCACTAAAAAATAAATACCACTGCTGTCGGAACTTCAGAACTCATGCTTGCAACCCTATGTTCCGCACGAAATAAAAAGAAATAAAACAGTAGTAATAATATAAAATAAATAGATTCGTTATTAGAAAGTTCTCACTGTTATCTATATCTTATCGGTCATGCTTTTTTATATGGTAATCATATCTAAATCCATAGTGGATAATAATTTATCTGAAGACATTTAAAAAGCATCAACTCTGTTGAACCGTTTCACGGTTGTCTGCACTTGAAAGCATTCAAGAAATTTGAATTCAGACTTATCTTATCATTGACTTTTTGAAGGGTCAGATAGTCTTGATTTCCTCATAATAATAATAATAATAATAATAAGAGACACTTGAAACAACGACTTTGTTTAAAAGTTAACAAGATTCAATATTCTATTCAATAATAGATGACAAAAATAGAATGATGTAGAAATAAGCAAAGTACTTACGCATATTTATTTTCAAGCATTTTATTCCTACACGGAACTACTTGGCAACCAGATACTGTTTTTCAGTTTATAATGATAGTCAATTTCCGGAGTGTAAATTACTCAACTGAGTTGAAATTAAATGATTAAATTGAATGCAAAAAAAATATGGTTTTGTTCATGTTCATGTGTGTTTAATTTGAAAAAAGCTAAATGAATAAAGCTTATTATATTTTTATAATTGTTTGTAAATGCCGCTAATATTCATGATAATGAGGATGATAATGATAATGATGACGATTGTAAATAATAATAAGCAACACTAAATAATAATTAATTGCCATTCATTAAATTTTTTGTTTTTCCCCTCTCCATTTTCATTATTGTTAGTAGTATAATGACTAATTTAAGTAGTGTACTTTCATCTACATCCGGTTGATTAATTATATATATATACGTTTGTGGCTATACAATTGAAAGAAACCATCATTAGAAAACTGATGTGTGCAACGACTTGGCTCTCATGTAGATTTCTGATTAGAATACATCTCACGTTCCGTTTTTCTATTAATAATAATACCTGCATTCACTATATAGTACAAAATGATTTAGTATGGAGTAATGAACAGTGATCAAATACGACTGTTATAAAGCACTACCTGCTACAAAATAAATAAAAACTAATAAATCAGGAAGAAAGTAAACAAAACAATAAACTCTACTAATACATATTAGTTGATAAAGTTATTTTGGTATTTCCAGTCTACATTGACATGTCGGCTTCTAGTATGGACGCATTAATATGGCGTTTTCTCAGTAAGAATACCATCACTTGCTGAGGATTGTAGGTATACCTTAGTGATAAGCCGTAAATAGGACAAATTGTGCGTCCTGAATTCCACTACTTGCCACCATCTACTAAATAAGTGAATAATAATTGTCGATTAACGCTAATGATGAAAATGGATAACATAAAGAGTATGGTTAAAAATATAAAATATGAAAGTACTTCATAGATTTCTAGAAGAGCAGTAACTTCTTTCAGGAATAAAATAGTTATTTGAACACATTTGACAATAATTAAATTGAATTTTACATTTCCCCGTTGATTGGTTGGACTAAAGTGCTCGGTTTCAGGTTGACATGTTGGCTTCTTGTGCAGATACTTCGACTATATCTGGCCATATAATTTGAAGTTAATTGATGGATAATGACTAGCAATGGAATCCAGGATAACGCGCATTTCGTCCCATTTGGGACTCGTTATCTGGATGTACCTGCATTCCGCAGTAAGTGATAATGCTCCCACCGAGGCTTGAGCCAAGTGTCTATAGTTTCAAAGGCCAAAGTGTTATCCACTAGACCACTTAGGCCAGAAGAGCCACCTGGTCTATCCACTGCTAGTCACCATCCACCAATTAACTCCTAATATTTGAGAATAATTTCACTGAATCTCTTTTTTCAAGTTATAGGCTTACACTTCACTTATTTTTCACACTATCTTGCAATTGAAAAAAGACGATGTCACATTATAAGACTGACATAAAAGAAACGTTTTGTGCAAATAATAAATATTTCGACATTCTATACTAAGCGATTACTTTTATCAACTATTTTTGAATTTCTCTTCTTATCATTATACTTTTTGTTATCAAAAGATTTACGAAAATAGTCATTTAATTTTTGGTTGTAATTAATCAATCTATGAACACCCATTCCCTATATCTATTATTAGTATTATTATTATTATTATTTTTACTTTGAATGGTTTCCATTCTCTCCATTTAGTAATTTCATTCAATATATTCTTTGCAATTTTTATAAGGCACTCTGTAATATTTAACTTGCCACCTTATTGCGTAGTGCTTTTATTTGTCTACTAATCTTAACACTTTCATTGGTTACTAGGTAATAACAATTTGATAGTGTGAAATATTCCTATATTACGAATTAAAAGTCAATCTGAACGAAGAATATTCTTTTCAATAATTTCTCCTATGCAGGTTCTTATAATTATAAAATATAATATTTGTGGTCGTTACAATAAAGATAGCCAGGTATGCGGCGGATGCATTTTTAATGTAGAATAACAGATTAGTTATGGGGTGTCAAAATAAGTAGTCATATTTGTGTGACAAACGTGCTAGTTGGCTGAAATCGATTACAATATATTTCAGTGAAATGGGAGACAATTGTGGTGATTAATCATAATAGATTTGTAGAGTGTGGGGTAGGAAAATTGACAAATCATTTCAAGGTTATAAAAGGTGTCAGGTGAGACAGTGGGTTTTACAAAGTGGTCTGAGTTAAACAGGAGATAGTAAGACTGCAATGAGAGGTTCATAGTGAGATAACGAATATGTTAAATGAAACAGTTGGGGGCATTTATTGAGAAAACAGATAATATCTCTAATAATAAGTCCGTATAAATGAAATAACAATTTTCATATGTCTGGACCTTGGTGTCAATGAAGACTGAATTTTATCAGTCAAGTTTGCAGTGTAGTCAGCATACTACGTAATTTGCAGTCGCGGTGCACATTGAGTTAGAGTTAGATGATTGGATGCAATCGGTAGGAAGCCGTGTCCCGAGGTTTTGTGCTTGTTGGCACTCGCCAGTCAGCAAGTTGTATCTGCTGTCTTGAAGTGAGTGATGTCCTCTGTGAAAATCAAACCTATGTCACCCAATGATGAAGTCAGAGGCGTTATCACTGAACTATTCAAACTTACTATTTACCTCCTGTCGGACTGCACTGGATACTTTGGTCGGTCACTAGGTAGTAACCAATGTTCATACATTCCATCAAGGATTTAATATATATTACATAACGCGTTTTTTTATTGCTTTATGCTCAACTATGATTCCAGTAGCATTAAAGCCCTAAGTATTTTTCACTGGATACAGTTGACAATTATTTTTATTTTTTTTTAATTTTTGATTACAGCTTAATTCCACACTGTATTTTTGGTACAGGTATGGAATTTTCAGCATGGATATCGGTAGCCCAAATTTCGCAGGCCGACCATAGATATCAGGTGTGCGTCGGCGTGGGCTCGAACCCCGGACCATGTGCATGG